CTAACTATAAGATAAGACTAGGGACTAATGAAAGTATTTAGAAAATTGGGCAGACTAGATGGGCCGAATGGTTCTTATCTGCCGTCACATTCTATGTTTCTATGTTTCCGTGCTCCCAACTTGCGCCGTTACAGTCCATAATGAAAGTGGCGGCGAGACTCATCTTCCTGTCCGCCCGCACCTCCCATGCCTCACCCTTCTGTCAATCCCTACATTGGCTTCCTGTAAGATATAGGGCTCCATTTAAAATTTGGGTTCTTGCTTTCAAATCTCTACATAATGCTGCTCCCACCTATCTATCCTCCCTAATACACAAGTATGTCCTTACACTCTGCTGAAGACTTACTCCCACCTCTGATGCTCGCCTTCAAAACTTCTCGAGGGCTGCACCATTCCTGTGGAACTCACTTGCCTCCTCCGTTAGATGCTCACCCAGTCTCCACTCCTTCAAAAAAATGATTAAAAACCTACTTCTTCATAAAAGTGTATCAATTAAACTGTTAATAGCTCCCGACTGATTCCTCTCTTGCAACTGTCATTAGTCTAATATTATCCTTACCTTTTGTGTCACTTTACCCCACTCCCTCTAGCATGTAAGCTCATTGAGCAGGGCCCTCAACCCCTCTGTTCCTGTGTGTCCAACTTGTCTGGTCACAACTACATGTTTGTTCGTCCACCCACTATAAAGCGCAGCGGAATTTGTTGGCGCTATATAAATAACAAAATAATAATAATAATAATAATTAATATTGGCAATTATATAGTGCCAACTTATTCTGCAGTGTTTACAATATTATAAAGGATGAAGTTTAACAATAAACGAGACAATTAAAAAATGTTACAGGAACATTAGTTTGATAAGGACCCTGCTCAAAAAAAGCTTACATTATGGAGGAGGTGGGCATAAAATCACAATAGGAAGGGAAGTGTGGGGACAGCAATCAAGAGACAAGGTGGGAAATCAGCAGAATAGGAAGGTGAGAATGGAGTGTCACTCTTTAAGAAAGATCAAGGAACATGTGTGTGAAATAAAAGTTACTCCGGGAGGCCATAAGCTATTCTGAAGAGATGGGTTTTGAGGCACTTCTTAAATGATTGAAGGGGCATACCTATGATTAAGTGAAGAACTGTAGTGTGGGTTAGAGTTATGTAGAGCTTTATAGAGCTTGCCACCTTTGTTTTGACTTTGGAATTGCAGCCTTCACTACAAGATGTAGGATGTATGTAAAGCAGGGCACAACTACAAAGAAACTATCGCACATAGCTTTGACCATGTTAGCATCTCTGTTGGTGACTACAAACCCTACATGCATATTTGTGCCTCCCTGCTCTGCCGAGCAAATTATTTAACAAATCCTAGTCTTGAGCATTAAGCTCTTAGCCAGACACTGGAAACAAGTGTACGTACCAAATGAAACAGATATGGGGGTCTATAAAAGCATGATGGCTTTCCAGACAGACACCCTCAAAACAATAAGACGCTCATGGAATATGTGGAAAACAAATACTTTCAATAGCCTTATCAAAGAAAGAAAAATTTAAAGTAAAAAGACCATTACTTCCAGTCCCATTAAATAATCTGGAGATTGAGAAAACTTAATCTGCAGACAGGTAGCTGGAGGAGACATATAGTGCGTTTGGGGGCTGGAGTTAAATCGAGCTCTTGAACACACAGAAACTTGTATCCAGTACTAAAGTTCCGATAAATTGATATATCCCATAAAAAATGCAAACCAGTAGTAAAGAGTACCCTAGATTCACACCCCCCCTTACATATGTTCACAAAATGTTTATATATGTCTATGTGTTTACAATATTACGCTTTGTAAAATCACTGGAAGTAAAATATAAACATGCAATATTCTTAGCTGATATTGTATGTGGTTATTGTAATATATGTAAACTTAAATAAACTTTCAAATTACAAAATTGAGTAAATAAATAAAATGACTGTCATTATAGTGAATGCCTGCCTGGTGTTTGCCTTAAATAATGGCTTGCTGCTCGGTGGGTTTAATGGTACTGACATTAATGTGTTTGACTTAAGTTTATTTTGATTTTTTTACACTTTTTTTAAATTATAATTTTGCAGAATTAAACAAGTATTAAACAATAATAGTCATTTCATCATAGAATAAACATCAAAATATGAGTGGTACATTACAGTGCATACAAAGGTACATAAAAAGACATACAACATAAAAAAGAAATATCGCGTCAGCCATCGAGAACTGGGAGGTGGACAGAGTCAATGTCGCTTCTCTAAAATATTCATTTAGAGCTAGAACCATTTTCAGGAAAGTTATTATCCATGTTTTATCTTACAAATGCATCTATGCCAGGGTTATCAATTTAAGTAAGGCGTAGATAGTTTATTATTTATAGTAGTCAAACCATTTCCCCCAAATCTTATTGTAGGAGCTGATATTATTATCTTTAAAATACACCGCCTTTTCCATTAGACCTTGATATTGAATCTGGGTTTTAATCTCTGTTATAGAGGGAGATATATTATTTTTCCATGTTCTAGCAATGCACAGTTTGACAGCCATCAAAACATGTATAGTCAAATATTGAGAGAATTTATCCATTTTTGGGAAGTCTAAATGGAAAAAAAATCTTTGTGGAGATAGCATAATATTTAAGTTTAAATCAATAAAAAGTTTAGATATTTTCAGTTTAAGAATATCCAATTCCTCACAGTCCCACCACACATGTTTGAATGAGCCACATTCACTATTACAACGCCAACAGATATTTGAGGAGTTAGCTTGAAATTAACATATTTTCGTAGGGACCAGATACCATCTCTGGATAAGTTTAAGTTTTGTTTTCTGTATATTTGTACAATGGACCGTTTTCCTTAAAGCTTCAAATACTTTTGACCAATCCTGGCATGAAAAAGATTTATTTAGTTCGGTTTCCCATCTAGAGATCGTATTGTATTTTACTTCTTGGTTTAATACCTCCAAAGATCTTCTAACTGCTGAAGATTTATTTTTAACCTCTCCAAAAAGGATCTTTTCAAAAGGTGAATCTTTAATTATAGTTACCTTATAAAGATAGTTTTTTATTCTTAAATAAGTGAAATATTCTTTATTTACAACTCCAATTTTTTCTTTTATACTTGGAAAGCTGCTAATACCAGAGGTATCATATAGGTCCTGAATTTTTATCCCATCTCTAACTATCCAACCAGATAATTTAAGATCTTGAATGAAAAATTTGAAAATTTCCAAAGGGGCATTTGAGGAAATTTGATTTTGAGCAAAAAAGTTTTTCTTTATTGGTATTATAGATTGAAAAGTATGTGAGATAATTAAATTATCAATAGGTAAATTTTTAAAACGTGGTATATCAATCCAGAAAAGATCGAAAGGGTCAAAGGTATTACATAAGCTCTTTTCAAATATATACCATGCTTTCAACTTTGAATTATTATTTCACCATTCTAAATAGTGTGAAAACATTACTGTGTCGTGGATATAAAATATATTCGGAAAGGATAGACCTCCTTCTGCTAATCTAGCTGACATAACTTTAAGAGCAATCCTGGGTTTTTTGTTACCCCAAACAAAAGATACAAACAGACCATGGAACAATTGAAGTATTTTCTTTGGGACTCTAAGTGGGATAGTACGAAGTAGATATGCTCTAGTAATGTTTATCCTACCAAGCCAGGATATTCGTAATTTAGACCATTTTAAAATTGTATTTCTAAATTCTCTAAGGAGTATGGTATAATTAACAGTGGTCCATTCTTCAATATTCAAATTTATATTTATTCCCAAATAATATAAAGAAGTGGACCATTTAAATTTACAGTTATTATTCAGGTTTCTTATTAGTGAGCTTGGTAGGTTATCATGCAGAGCTGTGTTTTTTGCATTTTGATCTTGTAGATAGAAAATCTACTATATTCTTCTAGGCTAGAACTGCTGCAAAGCCACTGCCGCAGAGACATACTAGGAATGGCAGATGGATTACTGTAGGATCTGGTAGACTTAGAGTTGTGGATAAAAGGCATTTTGCACAGTCTGTTGCTCTTCATAATTCATTTTCTGCACTTTCAGAGTGTAATGGTGTTGTGGAGAGAGGCACTGAGGCTAGTGGTGTTGTGGAGAGAGGCACTGAGGCTAGTGGTGTTGTGGAGACGGGCTTGGAGACTATGGTGAGGCCTAATAGAAAGCAGTTGTTGTTGGGGGATTCCATTATAAGAGGTGTGGAGATGGACAATGGTGGTCTTGTGAGGTGTCTTCCCGGAGCTACTGCTCACAGAGGCAGGAGACGTATCTGTAATATTGTTAAGCAAGCAAAGCAGGAAGGGGAATTGGATGTACTTGTCCATCTAGGGACAAATGACTTGGCTTGCAATGAGGTTTCAGAGGTTAAGGAAGTTTTTAGTGTTTTTGCCAATGACACATAGAAGGCTTATCAATAAACTGCAAACTTTAAGTTTGGATTCCAATATTGTTGAATGGGTAAGGCAGTGGCTGAGTGACAGGCAACAGAGGGTTGTAGTTAATGGAATATATTCAAAGCTTGGACTTGTCACCAGTGGGGTACCTCAGGGATCTGTACTTGGACCCATTCAATTTAATATTTTTATTAGTGATATTGCAGAAGGTCTTGTTGGTAAGGTATGTCTTTTTGCTGATGATACTAAGATATGTAACAGGGTTGATGTTCCAGGAGGGATAAGCCAAATGGCAAATGATTTAGGTAAACTAGAAAAATGGTCAGAATTGTGGCAACTGACATTTAATATGGATAAGTGCAAGATAATGCATCTTGGACGTAAAAACCCAAGGGCAGAGTACAGAATATTTGATAGAGTCCTAACCTCAACATATGAGGAAAGGGATTTAGGGGTGATTATTTCTGATGACTTAAAGGTAGGCAGACAATGTAATAGAGCAGCAGGAAATGCTAGCAGAATGCTTGGTTGTATGGGGAGAGGTATTAGCAGTAGAAAGAGGGAAGTGCTCATGCCATTGTGCAGAACACTGGTGAGACCTCACTTGGAGTATTGTACACAGTACTGGAGACCGTATCTTCAGAAGGATATTGATACCTTAGAGAGGGTTCAGAGAAGGGCTACTAAACTGGTTCATGGATTGCGGGATAAAACTTACCAGGAAAGGTTAAAGGATCTTAACATGTATAGCTTGGAGGAAAGACGAGACAGGGGGGTATGATAGAAACATTTAAATATATAAAGGGAATCAACACAGTAAAGGAGGAGACTATATTTAAAAGAAGAAAAACTACCACAACAAGAGGACATAGTCTTAAATTAGATGGACAAAGGTTTAAAAATAATATCAGGAAGTATTACTTTACTGAGAGGGTAGTGGATGCATGGAATAGCCTTCCAGCTGAAGTGGTAGAAGTTAACACAGTAAAGGAGTTTAAGCATGCGTGGGATAGGCATAAGGCTATCCTAACTATAAGATAAGGCTAGGGACTAATGAAAGTATTTAGAAAATTGGGCATACTAGATGGGCTGAATGGTTCTTATCTGCCGTCACATTCTATGTTTCTATGTTTCTATGTTACAATGAAGTGTGGATGGTATAGAAGATTCTGGGTTTGTTAAAGTCAGAATTATATCATCAGAGAACATAGTTATTCTTTGTTCCTGATTTCCTAAGTTCACCCCAGTTATGTTATGATGCTGTCTTATATATACTGCCAATGGCTCAATAGAAAGAATATAAAGAAGGGGTGCCAATGGGCATCCCTGTCGGGTTCAGTTTTTAATAGAAAACAAAGCAGAATCTAAACCATTACCATAAATGTTTGCTACAGAAGAAGAATATAAAGACATTGTTAGATCTTTAAAAGATCCCTCAATCCCAAATGCGGAAAGTGTGGTTGATAAAAATTTCCAATTTACTCTGTCGAATGCCTTTTCGGCATCGACTGCTATAAAAACTAAAGAGATAGATTTTCAGCATTTCAGAGGAAAAACTATTGGAGGTTGTTATATCTAAAAAAGTTTTTAATAATAGAGCGGTTATTATGGTCTTAAAGGATTTATAAAAGTACTCAGTAAATCCGTCTGGACCAGGTGCTTCCCCATTACTAAGCTTAGCAATTGTTTCTTTATTTCCTCTGCTTCAATAGGTTTATTTAAATTTAGTAATTTAACATGGTTTCATTTTGGAAGATTATGTTTTGAGAAAAAGTCTTTTAAATCATTCTCAGAGAAACTATTTATATAGTTAGATAGTGAGGCATAGTTAAATAGTTACATAGCTGAAAAGAGACTTGCGTTCATCAAGTTCAGCCTTCCTCACATTTATTTTTTGCTTTTGATCCAAAAGAAGGCAAAAACAAACCCAGTTGGAAGCACTTTGAATTTTGCAACAAGCTAGGAAAAAAATTCCTTCTTGACCCCATAATGGCAGTCAGATTTATCCTTGGATCAAGCAGTTATTACATTACCCTACATTGAAAGATTATATCCTTGAATATTCTGTTTTTGCAAGTATGTAGCTGTTTGAACATGTGTATGGACTCTGATAAAACCACTACTTCAGGCAGAGAATTCCACATCCTTATTGTTCTTACAGTAAAAAATCCTTTCCTTTGCCTTAGACGAAATCTTCTTTCTTCCAGTTTAAACGCATGACCTCGTGTCCTATGTAAAGTCTGGTTTGTGAATAGATTTCCACACAATGGTTTTGGCCCCGACATAGTATCTTGCAAAAGCCTTACTTATATTGTCAAAAATTAATTTAACAATTTTTATTATATCAAAATTGATATCTTGGCACTGTCCCCGAATAATGGTAATATAAAGCTGAGAATTACTCACGATTTTTAATTCTCTTAGATCCTAGAGGAAGCTCATTAGAGGATTTTTACTTCACACAGCAAATCACAAATTAATTATAAAAATATAATTTATTGTGACAATAATAAAAATAATAATATGTAACATACGTGACTATCAGTGAATAATTAGTATAACATAGGCATACAATATGGCAATGGTTTAAACACAATACAGACAGCTAAAAGCGACCAGTTGTCAACAATTTAACAAGATTTTTGATAGGGCACTGTTTAGAAAATTCACATAGAAAACAGAACCCCATAGAACACACAGCACAGCCTGAAGCAATAAAACTTTGGCTAACCGTCAGACCACACTGAATTTACCCTTTCACTGCTGGCTACAATCCTCATAGGCAATATATCCTATTATGTTATAACTTTACAATTAAAGTAATGTTCATACTAGATCATTTGACCATTCCAAGGACCATCCAATAAGAATAACTCTACCAGACTTTACGTTTGCCGAATTTTAACTTTCCAGTTTTCCAGAACAAGTCAATATTTCTGGATAAAATTCTGGCATACTAACATTTTGGCAAATTTACAGTTAATATATTGTTATCTTTATTCCACTTGCAGGAATGGAATTTTTATAACCATATATTCCTTAGCTAACTAAGATTTCTAATGATTGAAATCTGACCAAGATTTATCCCGATATATATTCCTGCTATTAGTAAAATGTTAATTAATTTAATTTAATTAAATAAAAACAGCATAATTACCAGTTAGGCTGTAGATTTTCTCTCAGATGTGCAGATATGTCCCAGGAATTTGTATGCAAGTATAATGAGGATTGTATGGAATAGTTCTGAAATTTTGTTAGTTGGGAAAGGTAAGAGTTAGGTGTCCAAGAGAGTGTTATTTCTTGAGTACGGTCCAAGAGTCAGAATATGTTTAAAAGAGAGTTAGAATGTGGTTCAAAGTGTGTGAATGTCCCAAATAGCCGAATTTTTGAATGTCCCTCTCTTCCCTTGTCCTTACTTTTTAAAGGGCCAAACTCTCTGCACGTCACTAATTGATAGGACCAACAGGGAATTATAGGTGTGTCTTCCCTACAGTCTATCATCTAGATTTTGGTCAGTAGATGGCGCAATTACATCACCAAAAGTTCTTTGCCTTTTTGCATAATGGGTTAACTGAAATTGGTGATAAGTTTTACGTCATTTTCAGCTATCTTTATGTCTGCTATCAATAACAGGACATGTCACTTTAAAGCATTTTCTTTGTTTTTTCCAGTCTTATCACAGACTTTGTGTCTGTAATTTCAATCGTAAATTTAGAATTGACACCTCCTAACCTTAATTTCACACTTTTTCTTACAATGGGACTTTGTAAGATTTCGTTAGGTATTTAAAAAAAAATTTTTTTAGAAAGTAAAATTAATTACTTAGTGTTATCTGTCATTGGTGTCTGGTTTTCTTGTGTGAAGCTGTGTTTAAGATTATTTCTATTCCACTAACATTATTAAATAAAATGATATGTCTTCATTGATATTTATCCATGAATAGTCTACATTATTAACATAATACTAATTATATATGATAATATAATAATAGTAATAAGTGGATAGTGTGTATATGTATATATAATTATGTATTCAATTGTCTCTGGGTTAGTATTCCAGCCCCCCATTTTTGCTGTTAGACATGCCTTATCACTTGTCTTGTTTACATAATGCATTCCTTAGCTCAGACTTGGATGAATAGAGTGACAGAAAGAATTCTTGTGTCTGTCTTAGCCTTGTAATACAAAAATGGAGTCACCTCTGTTCTGAAAGTGACTGGCAGTATACACTTTTAATTTGTGTCTTAACACAGAATGTCTGCCGATATAAATATACTGACACTGGCCGTGGCCATCGCAACACTGACCAACACACACTGACAGACACACACACATTCACTAACAGACACACCCACTGACAGACACACACACTCACTCTCTGACAGACACACTCACTGACAGACACGCACTGACTGACAGACACACTCACTGACTGACAGACACGCACTGACTGACAGACAGACACACACACACATTTCCACATTCTTGCACACACTAACAAAATTGTCTTTATTGCTCCCTGTCTTTGGGAGCTGGTGTGGGGCCTCTCCCTGGGGTTCAGTGGGGATCTTCTCTCGGGAGCTCAGTCTTTCTGCTCCTCACTGCTCCCTCACGCACGCAGTTTAGTGATGCCGGGTGCCATAATGACGTCATATTCCGGCACCCAGCATCACTACAGAGGGTGTACGCGAGGGAGCTATGAGAAGCAAAAAGACTGAGCTCCCTTGCTGCCGCCAGGGACCTCTCCTCCACGGCCGGGTAAATTTTTAGCAGAGTAGGCACCTGCAATGAAAAGAGAGCAGGTGCCTACTCTGCCTTGGTAAACATGTCTGAAACTCGCGGCTCGCCGGGCTGCAAAGATATTCATAGTGGGCTGCGGGTTTGACATGCTTGCTATACACAGTATACGCTTGAATTGGTACAGATCACTAGTGAGGAAGCCAGCGATAGTTACAGACGGGCTGCCAGGCTATGTGATAGACATGGGAGCCAATCATAGTAATCATTTGTCTTAGCTGACAGTTAAGGTAATGTGATCCCTGTGACCGGCTCTCGTAGCAATCACTCTATCTGGGAACCAATCTACCAAACAGTGCATTGTGAGTCTTCATAGGGCCTGGGTTACTAGAATTAGGGTTACAAAGGATAGGGTTAGAAATAGTGTAAAAATGTGACTCTGGTCAATATAGTGATACAGATACTGATAACAAAGGTATACATGTCATTGCTGTGTTTGGGATATGCAAGATTTCCATCAGAGATCTCAGGGCCCATTAAAAAGAATTGGTCGGGCCTCCACCTGAATACATACACACTCTTCCAGAATACACACCAATACACACTGCCAGACACCCATACATAAAGGCCAACCCCCGGAGCGAATAGGGAGGGGGGGCATGACTGCTGCCCTGATGGGCTTGGCATAGCAACTAAATGGATATAGTTAGTTTTACAGTTTGAAGCTGGGAATTCTGGGGAAATTACCAGACTACTGGTGAACAATGCTGAGTGAGCCTGGCAGTGTCTTTCCCCACCCACCCTCCTCAATGGTTCTACTCTGAAATTGTTGTTTGTGTTGTGTTTTCTCTGTTTTTCATTTTGTCACAGCTGTGTGTTTCCTGTGCCAGCAAGTTTGGTAAATGAATAATGCCCGGACGGGCTTAGGGAGTCGCAGCCTGAATTTAATTGATGACGAAGGACAGGCTGAAGAGGTTTTGGAAGAAGTTTGAAGTGAACCTGTCTGCTGGGTAAAACCAGCAGCTGACAGTATTTGGTTGTGCTGGTTTAAATAAAGCTGTGGCCGTTGCCCTTACCCACTTAACATGATGTGGCGTTAATTATTGGGAGTAGAAGGGTGACGGGATTTGGTGATCGAAGGAGTCAGCAGTCATGTCAGGAGCACACAATGTCAGACATAAACTATATTAAAATGGCCTTCTGGTTAACAAGAAAGGTGGACTTCTGTAAGTGGTTAAAGCACCATATTTGTTGTGGGGGGAAAAAGGCAGAATAGAAGACATAAAAAGAGGTGGCTTTTAGAAACATGTTA